TGGGAAGGTTCTGCATCAGATGGGCGTGTTCTCGAGGATGCGCTGCTGAACAAAGGATTTGTTATTCCCCCGGGAAAGATGTATCTTGGTAAAAATATATTTTAATATCTATTAATAACATAGTTTAGGTGACGCTGGATACGGTCTACGCCTTAATCTGTTGACGCCTTATCGGGGAGTCCGTTATCACCTACGCGAGTGGTCACTAGGCAATCAGAAGCCCCAATCTCCTAAAGAGTTGTACAACCTTCGTCATGCTCAGCAACGTAACTGTATCGAGCGAATCTTTGGCGTGCTTAAGAAGCGGTTCCGTATCCTTGTAACCGCCCCGGAGTACCCATTCCCAAGCCAAGTCAACCTCGTCTACGCTCTATGTGCCATGCACAATATCATCGACGGCCTTGAAAGCGATAGACATTACCTAAACAAGGCTGAACGAGATATGCGACGTCGAAATCGCCGTCGTGCTAAGCGAGTGGTCAACCACAACGAGGGCCATTACACGGACAATGAAGATCTATCCGCTGCTGCATGCGAACAGCGGGATGTTATTTCCACCGCAATGTGGGAACAATATACTCAGCACAATCAGCAGTAGCATAGATATTAATAATGCAATCCATGTAAATCATGTAATTAGTTGAAAAATATTTGTAGTTGCATCGATATTATTCATGCTACTAAATCAGTTTTTCTACCCAGGCATCGCGCGCATTCCCGCCTAATGCCAAAAAAATTGTTGCATTGAAACCTTCGCCAAGCTTGTCTGCTAAGTTTGCAATTACGTGACCATCCATATGGCCGTAGTTTTCCATGAGGCAATGAATGGCGGCAGCTATACGCTCGTGTGGATCGGTACTACTTTTCTTCACTTGATCCAGTTTAGCGTTTTCGACCTCGACCAACTTTGACATCGCTTCACCAATAATTGACCCGGCCGATCGTCGTTCTTTTTGCTGACGCGGCTTCTTCTTTCGGGGCATCATGTTGTCGGAATCGTCCGAATCGCTGCTGATGTCATCGTCCAGGGCAGAAACTTTGCGCCCTCCACGTCCTTTGGTCACTGGGGCTTGTTGATATTCCTCGAAATCCATGCGATCACTTTGCATGTATTCGTCCGTCGGTGGGTAAACATCCGCCGGCGGAAAAACGTCGGCATCGTTGATAATGTTGTTGTTGGCCA